CACGTCCGCGGCAAGGAAAGCTTCACGAGCTGCAGAGATGTACGAGAAGCGCTCCGCAATGTGATAGCGACCGGCCGCTTGACCACTGCTCTTCCGCATTTTCCGCATCTGCGCAGCGTCTCCTTTCTCGGAGAATTGCACCTGACCGTGCACCACTTCCGGCAGAGTTCGGGCCCCGCATCCCACACCATCCAACATTGCCTGCTTGAATGCATGCGTTGCCCGACGGTACCCTCTTTCCGTCCTGCATGCAGAAACGGGAAGAAAGTACGACTTTAAATGGGATGATAACACTTCGACAGCAAGAACGACAGTGTTTTTGGACCCGCCTCATCTGCTCCAGCTGCTTCACCTGGACCTTATTCCAAACCATGTGTTCCGCGATGGACGACGACTCCACCTGCCCGAGCAAAATTTCCAGGACCCGAGCGATGCACATTCTTGCTCTCTTCCGTCTGTTGAGACCGAACGCCCGATTCTTGTCCTCCCCCACGAGGATAATCAGAACGTCCGCGACATCCATCCACCGGCCTTCCTGAGCTTGGAGTGACTGGAAAACCCGGCCGCCTCCTTGCTGCAGCAGAGCCTGCTTGTCCAAGCGCCCGTCCGCGATGTTGATGTAGAACGGCGGGTTGTCGCCCGTGACGGTGCGCACGGCCTGCGCGAAGAAGGAATGGCTCAAACCACGAAGCACGTCCCGGCACCTGGACTTGACATCGTCGGCCTCTAAGTTCCACTTCATGTTCGACCGCATGTTGCAGGCCCAGTGGGGCAGAAGCACGGCGAGAGCCAAGGTAGAGCAGCAGGTCTCGCGACAGGCCGCGGCGACGGCCTTGTCAGGAGTTGTCTCCCGAGCGGCCGCGTCATCGGCCGGGTCGTCGGCCGGGTCTGTCTCCGAGCGCTCGGCCTCTTTTCTTTTAGCACCTGTTCGGTGCTGTTGCGCTTTTTCTTGCACGGACGACCAAGAGCTGTCGAGGACATGAGTTTTGGCCTTCTCGACCAGAGCGTCCGGGTCGCCCGACCAAAGTGGATCCATCCTCTCGACGACCTTGTTACGGAGAACCGGGACGAGGTTGCCAATGAAGTTGGGCACGTCCGTCCCGCCGAGAAACTCGACCAACCAACGAAGATGCCAATATCTCTTGATGCCCGTCCGTGCCGCGTCCACCTCGTAGACTTCTGAACGAAAACGGCCGGCTCGACCGCAATCGAGTTCAGCGGCCAAAGTACAAACTGGAGCAAGTCGAATTGCTTCCTCTGCCATGCTCGTCCGAACACTGCTGACCGACACGACTGACTGCTACAAAAAAAATATCGCACGACCGATCACTGATTAAGCAAAGCTGATGAAGTAGCTTACTGAATTCCATACGCTTCACTGCAATGAACTACGGCATACTTCTGAGCTCAAGCGCTGGCTGCATGCATGCAAAGCTTGGAGAAAGTGCAGAAAGACATGTCCACGGATTCTTCGGCTAGGCGCAGCAGCCCGTGCCTCCAATCCGGAAATGCGTCCGAACCTGCCGCAGCCCCAAGAAATGAAATCTGTCATGCGGCACCAGTAGCACGGCAGAAGAGTACCCCAGAGACTTGAGCAGGCAAGCGCTCGTTTTGTATCGTCCGCGGCTGACTCCCGATGCACCCGATGTATTTTACGCTCTGAACGACCCCAAGACCTAAACCCAAATACCATTGCAGCGGTGCACTCTACGGCACCACTGAAACGCCACCCGCCCCTGAAAATGCCGGCTGAGACGGCCCCCATAATAACCCCGTCCTCGCCGAGCGAAGGCCACATGTATAATAGCAGCGCAACGCACGGCCCGGAGAAAAGAATTCAGCAAGGAGCCCGTCCGGGAAGGACCTCTAGGAGGCCGTGGTACTGGAACTTCCGGCTGCCGAGGAATCATCAATCTGGAGGTCGACCGCGGCCGAGAACGGCCGAGAGGAAGCGGGAGTGTGCAACGACCGGTGACGGCCGTGAAGGCAGAAGCTCGAGCTGAATGCTTCGACATCGGTTATGTGCCTGCACTGA